AGCTTCAGAAGCTCATAGCCATCTCCATCGGCAGCCTGCGCGGGCTGCGCACCAAGTGCGCGGTGTCCAACGACCTCACCCAGCAGGAGATCCGGACGCTGGAGGTGAGGGGCCGCGGCGACGCAGGGCGGGGACTCGGGTGGCCGGAGGAGAGGCCCGGCACCTCCCTCCGTGTACTAGTCACTCCTCGAGCCGGGTCACCCCCTTTTAGGCTTCCTCTCGGCACTCGCTGATGCGGCAGCCAGAGGACCCAGGACCAGTCCTCACCTTAGACAGGATGGGGAAGTGGTGGGAGGTAGGAACGACCAGTCCTCACCTTAGACAGGATGGGGAAGGGGTGGGAGGTAGGAAAATGAAGGGGTGCTCCAGGAGCCGGTGGGCGGGGCGGGGCGCACGCGGATGTCCCCCTGCTTCCCTCTTTCCGCCCCCACCCCATTTCCACTTGCGGGGCCGCAGGACTCATTCTCCCACTGAGTCACACGCTGGACTTTTCCCGGTGTGACTAGCGGAGCAGCCGTGGGCTGGGGCGACCGGGGACGTCCCTCAGAAGTGTGAGCGCAGGCCTGCGCCCTGTCCTCTTGCCTTCCCCTGGCGCCCCAGACTCGGTCTTGTTCCTTCCTTTCCTGTCCTCCAGGTCTTGTCTGCCGCTTTTCAGAAAGTGTTTGCTGAAACTGCATTTTTGCTGTTGAGGCGTTTGATGCTTTCCTTTCGCGCTGCCATAGCGTGTCACTGTTCAAAGTGTAATTACCCATTGACCCCCTCTTCCTCCACTGGATTTTGGCTTAGAAAGGATTATGCTGGAGAAGGAAGCCTTTGGTGGAAAGATGACACTATTTAAGAGGTTCTGGTGGAGACAGCCTGGAGTGCAAAGAAAAAAATAAGATGTGTGGGCCTTCGTCTCTCAAATCATAGCTGTGAAGTACGGTATGACAAGGCAAGGACTTTGGGTTGTTGGGTTCTCAGAAGGGAGACCCTCTTCCCATACACAATAGAAGGAAACCAGTGCTTCCCAGCTTGCTTTGTCCAGGGACTGGAATGGCTGTGAAAGTCCAGGGATCAGTTAATAGTTATTTTGTCTTGAGGAAGGGGCCTCTCACCACCTTGCATTGCCACATCTGGCCTTCTGCAGATCTGGGGCTGTTTTGTTTTATTAATCCTCAGTTTCTCACCTCCCCCTTCCTTACTGCTAATTGCCTGTGCCAGCTGTCATCGAGCCAGCCGGTGATTGTGGTAATTATTACAAGACCAATCCTCTCTCCACACACACCGCAGTCCTGAATCCTTGTTTGATCCAAAATGCTGGAGGATGGCTGTCCCTCAGTTTTATTTTCTTAAGTGCTACAAAGCCAAGGACATTGGAAGAATCCACTCAGTGCTGGCTATCGTTATTTTATTTTTTTTTATTATAGCCGCTATAGCAGTACTGACCGGGCTTTGCTTACAAAACAAACCCACAAAACCCCCCCTACCCTGGCCTTTCTGCATGCGTACTGCTGTTTTCCACGGGGCAAGAGAAACTAATTTCTTGAACACCACGGCGTGTTTGCCCAGCAAAGTTCAGTTTTTAAGCCACACAATAGGGGCCTGTATGGCTTAGTTCCGGAAGGAGGGGTCGCGTCCTGCAGTGTGTGCCTGGCTGGCCTGCGGTGTTGTTGGGCTGACAGAATACTGTGTTGGCCTCTGGCAGATTGTCCCCATGTCGCTCTGAGGTGCTCTTGGTTGGATGTAGGAGGACAGTTTGCTGTTCATTTTCTGGAAATGGCTCTTTTCAGCTCCAGGTACCCCTCCTCTCGGAGTCTCTTTTGGACGAGGGTGAGGCATCATGACACCCCAAAGCATCCAGCTGTTTAAGTCTGTGCTGGTTTGTTCAGGGGCCTTCCCTCCAGAGTATGTGTTTGGATGGTCTGCTCTGGCAGCTAGAAACCCCTCTGAAGGCCCTGAGGGAGTTGCAGTGTGGATGGAAATAATACCCAGCTCCCTGTTCGTTGCGCTCTGATATGGATTCAGGGTCACCCTACTCTCTGAGAAGGTAGGAACTAGGTGTGTTGCGGAGATGGGAATTTAGACCTCTGAAACTGCCCGCAGCTAGTGCGGTAGCTTTAGCCTCCTTGCCTGCAGAATACAGAGGTGGGAGTGGAGCTCTGAGAGCCCTCAGAGTTCTAACTTCTGTGTTTTAACCAAGGAGACTTAGTTGGTTTGAATCCGAATGTTTGTGTTGTTTATATACATACTCATGTTTAAGAATATCCCTGTTTGAGGATGTCGAAAACCCAGATTTACAGACTGATAAGGAAGGAGGAGAGTTTATGACTAATAGAATCTTTATGGTGACCAGCAGACGGCATAATGGTGACGTTGCTGGACTCCCACGTAGCTGACCATGGTTCAAGTCCTAGATCTGGCAGATTAAAACTCTCACCAGACATGTGTGTGTGCGTGTGTGCCCAAGATCCCGAGAGGAGAATGGAGAAGAGATTGCTGTGTGGCCATCCCCCATGGGGGGGGAGTGATTTCTTGCTTTGCGTCTCTCTGTCTCTCTGGCGAGTACATGTGCCTTATACCAAGAATCTCTCTCTCTCTCACACACACAAAAAGACTCTTTAGGCTTTTCAGAGCCCAGGGCTTTGAAACTCTGTCTGTATGACTGAGCAAGTGCTGTGACTTCTGAATCTCAGCTTCCCTGTCTGTAAAATGGGGATGAGACTGCTCAGACCTGTAGTGTTTTTGTGAGTCTGTCAGTCTGTGACCTTGAACTTCCAAAAGATTCTGCATGGAGATTTTCCCTGGTAGGTCCAGTGACATTCATGCCCATGGCATTGGCAGGGAATGTGCTCCCACAGCTGGCTCTCATTTTCTGGAGGTGGTGACAGGCCAGGAAGCATTCCCAGCTAGTGAGTGGGAGCACACCCCCTCAGCATGTGGAGGGCCAGGCGTCCACTTCGACTTTCCTTCCTGTTCTGCAGGCACCTCGGCACACACTCTGACCCTCATTAAATGAGCACTTAATGGAAAAGCAGCACGTGAGATGTCCCCAGAAGTCCCTGGCCAGGGATGGGCACCTGTTGCCCAGGATTCTGGGTTGTGATGGTGTGAAGGGTTCAGTGTGCCCGGCTGCCTGGCGATGCCATTTCTCTGTGTTGTGGTCCAGCTTGGGTTGAAAGGGGTGGAAGGAGCCAGGGCTTGACGGCTGCCTCCTGTCTGTCGGCAGTTTGTTAGACCTTCTCAATCTGCTAAGGTGTCCTGGAGATCCGTGAGCCTTCTCAGACACATACACATAGTTTTATCTCTTTCTTTCGTAGAGTATGTGCTTGCTAGAGAGAGACAGAGATAGAGGGAGAGGAGAAAGCACCCCCCGTAGGAGATGGCCACACTGCAATCCTTATCCTACACCTCTCCCTCCTTTCAGAATTTTGGGCACTCATGCCTGTAGTGTTTCTCAAACCGCTGGGTCTGGGACTTGAACTGCACAGTCAGCTCTGTGGGATCCAGCTGCTTTAACCACCATGCCACAGAGCTGGCCCCACATTTAAATCGTTAAATAGAAAAAGACAGAGATACAATCTGAAACCAGAGATCGAGTCTGTCAACAGCCATGGTGAGGCCGCTTCATCCCAGCAGAACCTGGTGCCCTGTCTCCATCAGCCCCTCCCAGGGGTCTGAGAATTCCACCATAGCGAGTGGAGTGTTCTCATCCCCCAGAGTGCTCAGGGGGGCACGTGGCCTGTCTCACAGCTGGGCCTGGAGTTTCATGCCTCGGTTCGTTCCTTCAGCCGTCCCTTCTCTGTGGGTCGTATCTGCCTGGTGCTGGGGGGCAGTTGTGTACAAAAGCAGACACTCCTGCTTCCTTGTCACAAGTCCCATCGTGTAACTGCCCTTTCCTACGACTACTTTCCAGAGACAGGAAGTGCCCGACCTGTGCTTAGAGATAGAGAAGATAGAGGATGCCCTCCTGGTCTTTGGGCTTTAGGGGCTCATTCAGTTTAACAGGGAGCCAGGCAGGGAAACAGCAGTGAGAGTGCCCAGGGGAGCCCCTGCGTGGGAATCTCACTGACCAGTTGGCAAGCCAAAAACCTTCTGGGCTTTTTGTTTGTTGGCTTTTATGAAGTTTATTTCTTTCTTTCACGAGGGTGAGAGATACAGAGAGAAAGACAAGGACCCTTGACAGGGTCTTCTGCTGAGATCCCCCTAGTCTTTCTGTGCACCAGCATATACAGGTTGACAAGGGAACTGAACCTATAATCTTCCATACAGATCTTGCTTCACTAGAGCAGTGTGTTACTTCAGTGTCACCGAGATCGACTGCAAGCCTTCTGCTTTGATGAGAGATATTTTCAGAGTCCCAGACATAGCCGAGGCAGAACCTGGCTCTCCTCCCCCACACCCACCCCCAGTGTGGCATTCTCTGTTTTGGCCTGGCTGCCCCGGTTTGGACATCCTGCCTGAGCCACTGTGGCCATCCCTGAGGGGTGCAAGGCTGTAGTACTGTCCCTTGGTGTCCACTTTCACCTTGACAACTTTTTCCTGGTCCAGTCTACTTCTGGAATATTCCTTGGAGGTGGCCTGTAAGGGAGGACCCACCCTTCCCTGAGGCCATGAGCCTGAGGAGGGCTGGGTGATGCTGGACTGAGACCTTAGATGTGCAGCCCATGGTAGTGTGTGTGCGCAAGGAGGCCTTGGTTTGCTTCCTGGGAACACTGAATGCCTCTGCTCCTTCAGGGCTGCTGCTTCTCCAAGTGGCCTGGGAAAGTGGCATTCTACACGTCAAGGATCCTGCTTCTGCCTACTAGCTGTGGTCTGGGGAGGGACCATGCAAAGGCGCTGGCCCATGGTAGCAGTGTTTGTGATAGTGGAGGAAGTAGCAAAACCTCTGGCCAAGTTTTTTTAAGCTATGCTTTTGAAAAAGGACAGACTTTCAGAATAGGCTGGTTAGAAAAGCTACACAGGTATCTTTGGGGTCATGAGAATGACTTGCTGAAGAGAGGGCAGATGTGGAAGAAGCTTCCTTGGTCACCAGCTCTGTGCTGAGCTCTCCACTAGGGTCTTGGCCTCTTTGGCCCCATTTAATACTCCCAAAAGCCCTGTGAGGTTTTCCCCTCATTCTGCA